TTTTCGAGTTGTAGCTTATAATTTTTTCATTTTTATGTGTTGAATCGATGTTTTTTTCTCTTCTTTGTCAAGCTATTTATCTTTTCTATTTCTTACATGTTTCGATTTTCTTGTCTATCTGTCCTAATTTTTTCAACTCCCTATGGTACAACTTAACAATTTTTGTTTCAATTTATGGTACTATTTCTATTCTAGAAATGATTTTTTTCCAAGTCGGTTTCTCAAGCTATAGCTTTTTTCCTCTTACTAGTTGAATCGAAATCTTTTCCTTCTTTATTGAGGTATTTGTCTCCACTGTTTCTTGTATGTTTCGATTTTCTAGTCTTTCCTTCGCACTATTTTCAACTTCTTAAGGTACTACCTAAGAATTTTTGCTCTAATTTGTCGTACCATTTCCATTATAGAAACATTTTTTTCCAATTTGTTTTTCAAGCTATAGTTTATTCTTTCTTCTATCTTTCGTGTGGAATCGAAATCTTTTTCTTCTTTATCGAGGTACTTTCACTATTTCTTGTATGTTTCGATTGACTTTTCTTTCTGTCGTAAGTTTTTCCAACTTCATAACTTTGCTGTAATTTTTGGAACCATTTCCATTCTAGAAGTGATTTATTTCAAATTTGTTTTTCGAGTTGTAGCTTATAATTTTTTCTTTTTTATGTGTTGAATCGATTTTTTTTTCTTCTTTGTCAAGCTATTTATCTTTTCTATTTCTTACATGTTTCGATTTTCTTGTCCGTCCATCCTAATTTTTTCAACTCCCTATGGTACTACCTAAGAATTTTTGTTTCAATTTATGGCACCAATTTCCATTCTAGAAGTCGGTTTCTCAAGCTATAGCTTTTTTCCTTTTACTTGTTGAATGGAAATCTGTTTCGTCTTTATTGAGGTATTGTCTCCACTGTTTCTTGTATGTTTCGATTTTCTAATCTTTCCTTCGCAGTATTATCAACTTCTTAAGGTACTACCAAAGAATTTTTGCTTTAATTTGTCGTACCATTTCCATTATAGAAACATTTTTTTCCAATTTGTTTTTCAAGCTATAGTTTACTCTTTCTTCCATCTTTCGTCTGGAATCGAAATCTTTTTCTTCTTTATCGAGGTACTTTCACTATTTCTTGTATGTTTCGATTGACTTTTCTTTCTGTCGTAACTTTTTCCAACTTCATAACTTTGCTGTAATTTTTGGAACCATTTCCATTCTAGAAGTGATTTATTTCAAATTTGTTTTTCGAATTGTAGCTTATATTTTTTTCTTTTTTATGTGTTGAAACGATTTTTTTTTCTTCTTTGTCAAGATATTTATCTTTTCTATTTCTTACATGTTTCGATTTTCTTGTATGTCCGTCCTAATTTTTTCAACTCCCTATGGTACTACCTAAGAATTTTTGTTTCAATTTATGGCACTATTTCCATTCTAGAAACGATTTTTTTCCAAGTCGGTTTCTCAAACTATAGCTTTTTTTCTTTTATTTGTTGAATGGAAATCTGTTTCTTCTTTATTGAGGTATTTGTCTTCACTGTTTCTTGTATGTTTCGATTTTCTAGTCTTTCCTTCGCAGTATTTTCAACTTCTTAAGGTACTACCTAAGAATTTTTGCTTTAATTTGTCGTCCATTTCCATTATAGAAACATTTTTTTCTAATTTGTTTTTCAAGCTATAGTTTATTCTTTCTTCCATCTTTCGTGTGGAATCGAAATCTTTTTCTTCTTTATCGTGGTACTTTCACTATTTCTTGTATGTTTCGATTTACTTTTCTTTCTGTCGTAACTTTTTCCAACTTCATAACTTTGCTGTAATTTTGGAATCATTTCCATTTTAGAAGTGGTTTATTCCAAATTTGTTTTTCGCGTTGTAGCTTATAATTTTTTCTTTTTTATGTGTTGAATCGATTTTTTTCTCTTCTTTGTCAAGCTATTTATCGTTTCTATTTCTTAGATGTTTCGATTTTCTTGTCTGTCCGTCCTAATTTTTTCAACTCCCTATGGTACTACCTAAGAATTTTTGTTTCAATTTATGGCACTATTTCCATTCTAGAAACGATTTTTTTCCAAGTCGGTTTCTCAAACTATAGCTTTTTTTCTTTTATTTGTTGAATGGAAATCTGTTTCTTCTTTATTGAGGTATTTGTCTTCACTGTTTCTTGTATGTTTCGATTTTCTAGTCTTTCCTTCGCAGTATTTTCAACTTCTTAAGGTACTACCTAAGAATTTTTGCTTTAATTTGTCGTCCATTTCCATTATAGAAACATTTTTTTCTAATTTGTTTTTCAAGCTATAGTTTATTCTTTCTTCCATCTTTCGTGTGGAATCGAAATCTTTTTCTTCTTTATCGTGGTACTTTCACTATTTCTTGTATGTTTCGATTTACTTTTCTTTCTGTCGTAACTTTTTCCAACTTCATAACTTTGCTGTAATTTTGGAATCATTTCCATTTTAGAAGTGGTTTATTCCAAATTTGTTTTTCGCGTTGTAGCTTATAATTTTTTCTTTTTTATGTGTTGAATCGATTTTTTTCTCTTCTTTGTCAAGCTATTTATCGTTTCTATTTCTTAGATGTTTCGATTTTCTTGTCTGTCCGTCCTAATTTTTTCAACTCCCTATGGTACTACCTAAGAATTTTTGTTTCAATTTATGGCACTATTTCCATTCTAGAAATGATTTTTTCCCAAGTCGGTTTCTCAACCTATAGTTTTTTTCCTTTTACTTGTTGAATGGAAATCTGTTTCTTCTTTATTGAGGTATTTGTCTCCACTGTTTCTTGTATGTTTCGACTTTCTAGTCTTTCCTTCGCAGTATTTTCAACTTCTTAAGGTACTACCGAAGAATTTTTGCTTTAATTTGTCGTACCACTTCCATTATAAAAACATTTTTTTCTAATTTGTTTTTCAAGCTATAGTTTACTCTTTCTTCCATCTTTCGTCTGGAATCGAAATCTTTTTCTTCTTTATCGTGGTACTTTCACTATTTCTTGTATGTTTCGATTTACTTTTTTTTCTGTCGTAACTTTTTCCAACTTCATAACTTTGCTGTAATTTTGGAACCATTTCCATTTTAGAAGTGGTTTATTCCAAATTTGTTTTTCGCGTTGTAGCTTATAATTTTTTCTTTTTTATGTGTTAAATCGATTTTTTTTCTCTTCTTTGTCAAACTCTTTATCTTTTCTATTTCTTACATGTTTCGATTTTCTTGTCTATCCGTCCTAATTTTTTCAACTCCCTATGGTACAACCTAAGAATTTTTGTTTCAATTTATGGTACTATTTCTATTCTAGAAATGATTTTTTTCCAAGTCGGTTTCTCAAGCTATAGCTTTTTTCCTCTTACGTGTTGAATGGAATTCTGTTTCTTCTTTATTGAGGTATTTGTCTTCACTGTTTCTTGTATGTTTCGATTTTCTAGTCTATCCTTCGCAGTATTATCAACTTCTTAAGGTACTACCAAAGAATTTTTGCTTCAATTTGTCGTACTATTTCCACTATATAACATTTTTTTCCAATTTGTTTTTCAAGCTATTCTTTCTTCCATCTTTCGTGTGAAATCGAAATCTTCTTTTTTATCGTGGTACTTTCACTCTTTGTGTATTATAATTTTTTTCTCTCTTGTGTGTTAAGTTCATTAGTACTTATCTTTTCTATTTCTTGCATGTTTTGAAGTCCTTGCCATTCTCTGGTAATTTTTTCAACTTCGCAAAGTGGTACCTTTGTACTTTTGCTTTAAATAATCGTATCATCATAATTTTAGAAACGATTTGTTTTTAATTAGATTTTGAAGTCATAGCTTGTTTTTTCCTCCTACGTGTTGAATCGAATTCTTTCTATTCTTTATTGCGGTACTTTTCGTACTACTTTTCGTGTATATTTCAAGTTTGTAGTTTTGATTTCTCTTTACATTTTTTTGCTTTTTTTATTTTCCCGAAAAAAACAACTCTGGAATGATTTTTACTTTCTGTATTTCCCCCTCTTTTATTCCTTGCTTTCCTAAGTACAATAACACACATTACTCACAAAGAATATCAATTTTCCTTCTTCAAGTATGTATTTATTTCACGTCGACATCATTATGCATATTTGTTTTTTTCCATAAATGGAACTGTCCATATTTGAGCTGCTCCTTTTAGTACATCCTTCATTTGTATAACCCTCTCCAGTTCCGTCTTGACTAATCTACGCCAAAAACATTGACATTCATCGTTTATCGTGAGAATGCATCTGTTGTTTTTTCTAAATTTTAATTAGTACCGTAATTTTAATTCTAGTTTAGTTTCTCTGTACCGTGTCGAAAGCAGCTTTCATATCTTTGCACATCGTAGGTACATGACTTTCCTTCTTTCTTCATTACAATATCTGTTGTTGCGTTTTTTCCATTTTCTCACATTATAGGTTATGAATTGTGAGTTTGCCTCCCCTCGCGCGCCATTACAATCGACGTTTTTGATTCGACCTTATTAAGCTCACATTAATTAACATTTTATATATATTTATAATGTACTAAATTGGCACAGTCATTATATTTTTTTCCGTCGCAAGGCCGTTCACAATCAACTCGAAAACTGCCAGCCAGTCAAGAACAACATTTATGTAACTCTTCGACAATATTTACGTTTGCCTCCCCTCCCGCGCCATTGAAACGTCGTTTTCCCCTTAAACGTCAATGAAAATAATCGGTCACTCAGGACAAAACTTTCCTTGACATCCATTCCGTCCACGTTCTTGCGAGCAATCGTCAGCACGCTGACGACTTATCGGACGTCAGACGGTGGTTAGCCGAACAACGTTTTTAAAAAACAAGAGAGCAAATTTCAAGGGTACCAACCTCGCTTGAGTTTTCAGTACCAGCGTGGATCCAAGAGGTCACCTTTCAAACTGGTTTCATTTGTACCGGAGCCCGGACTAATTCTAATTAAGATAATTAGCGCGGGTGACGTAACGCCTCCCCTCTCGCCGCCATCATGCCGCTTTCGCGGTTGATCTGGAGGCCGATTTAAACTTGTTCTTGTTCCAGGGTTCGTGGTGGCGGCGTCCGTCGGAATCATCATCTTCGGCGTCATCGTGCTCGTATTCTTCGCCAGCTGGGTCAACCTAGTCGTCAATCACGTAAGCGCTCTTTCACAATAACCTTGAAACCCGAAGCCTACTTAAATGTTATCAAACAAATTCTTTCGTAACGTGACGTTTTTTACGCAGGAAGTTACGCTGAGGAATGGCTCGCAGGCCTTCGGATGGTGGGCCAAACCGCCCGTCGTCCCCGTTATCCAAGTCTACGTCTACAACGTCACCAACGCCGACGAGTTCCTCAACAACGGCTCCAAGCCGGTCGTCGACGAGCTGGGACCTTACGTCTACGTGTGAGTGAAAGCGCCACCCCCGATACTTCCCATTACAATCGCGCCGTAACGCATCTCTTGCGTAAGACGAAAGCGGAGAAAGTGATTCTGAAACGGGACGAGCTACACGGTTACGAAATGCGGCGTTGCGCAATCGAACGGAACTGGCAACGCTGCAGGGAATGGCCGCCGGAGGGAGGGTTGCACACGAATAGTAATAGTAACAACAACCTGTACATTGCTTGTAAACAGAACAATTTCAAAACTTCCGAACAATCAATCAAACTATTTATGACATTAAAAACAAAACATAAATCAAAATAACGACGATTAAGTAATTAAACGCGATAGTTAACAATGGCGGCCGGAGGGAGGGCAGTCACGTGACGCGTCTTGTCTACAACACCACGATTTTCGGTTTCAGCGAGAAATGGGAGAAGAAGAACATCAAGTTCCACGACAATGGAACGGTTTCGTTCAACCAGGAGAAGATCTACATGTTCGATGAGTCGAGGTCCGCTGGCCTTGAAGATGACGTGGTCGTAGTGCCCAATATACCAATGCTGGTGAGTACGTGAGAATATTTGTTTGTTTAGTTGGAGGAAGGTAAAAAACGTTATTGCACTAGTCATGCTCGCTAATGCTGAAGAAAAAATTGGGTGGTTATTAAGAATTCCGTTAATTATGGTGGATAATTTGTGTTAATTTTTTTCTAATTAAATTTAACACCTGTTTTCATCGTGTTCATGTGATTGCTTGTAATGAGCGAAGAAGTTTAGCCTTGAGTCATCGCTAGTTATCTATAGTGTCGGTGTTGGTAAGGTAGCAACATAAATAATATCTTTGTGGGTATCGTTAATCAAGTCAGGTTTCATACTGAAATAAACATAGAATTTCTGACAGAACAGCACATTGGTGTGGAATGTGCATTACTGACTCGGTTGTTGAGGTCTGTTTGAGGTTAGAGGTCAGTAAATTTCCATCTTGGGAAGTAGAAAATTTGTAACAAATTTGTAATCGAGTCAGCCTTGGAAATGATTTAGCATGTCGGTGATTAAACCATTCTGGTAAAATACAACAACAGTAGAAGAAAAAAAGAATAAAGTATGCGCTTCTGGAATGTCAATGGTACGATAATTTAAAGCAAAAGTACTTTGGCCGTACTTTACGAAGTTGGAAAACTACTAAGTAGTACTAACCATAAATTTAAAAACAAAACATGAGAAAAAAAATTGAAACATTACAAAATAATAGGAAAAGTACCTCCGTAAAGGAGATTCAAGACGTAACAAGGAAAAAAGAATAAATTGACTTGAAAAATAAATTTGGAAAAACATCGTTTCTAAAATGGAAATGATACCAAAAATTAAGACAAAAATTCTGAAGTAGTACCTTAAGAACGAAAAACAAGAAAATTGAAAGACACAACATGGGAAAGAAGAAAATGAATTCGATTCATTACGAAAGATAATAACAAAGAATAAACTATAACTTCAAAAAAAAAAAAAAAATGGAAAAAAGTGGTTCAGGAATGTCAGTGGTACAAAATATTAGACCAAAAATGCTTTAGTCGTACTTCACGAAGTTGGAAAAATAGCGAGAGAAAGATAACAAATTGTAGAGAAAAGTGCCTCGATATTGAAGAAGAAAAATCGACTCAAGATGTAAAAAGAAAAAAGTACTAACCATGAACTTAAAAGCAAAACATGAGAAAAAAATCATGAGTAGAATGGACATAAGTAGTACTAACATTCAGGCTAAAATTCTTAGGAAATACTGTACGAAATTAGAAAAATTTTGAGGGAAAGACTTGAAATTTGAAACATATACGAAATAGTAGGAAAAGTACCTCCATAAAGAAGATTCAAGGCGTAACAAGGAAAAAAGAATCAATTGACTTGAAAAATAAATTTGGAAAAACATCGTTTCTAAAATGGGATTGAAACCAAAAATTAAGACAAAAATTCTGAAGTAGTACCTTAAGAACGAAAAACAAGAAAATTAAAAGACACAACATGGTAAAGAAGAAAATGAATTCGATTCATTACGAAAGATAATAACAATGAATAAACTATATCTTCAAAAAAAAAAAATGAAAAAAAAGTGGTTCTGGAATGTCAGTGGTACAAAATATTAGACCAAAAATGCTTTGGTCGTACTTTGCGAAGTTGGAAAAATAGCGAGAGAAAGATAACAAATTGTAGAGAAAAGTGCCTCGATATTGAAGAAGAAAAATCGACTCAAGATGTAAAAAGAAAAAAGTACTAACCATAAACTTAAAAGCAAAACATGAGAAAAAAAAATTGAAACATTACGAAATAATAGGAAAAGTACCTCCATAAAGAAGATTCAAGGCGTAATAAGGAAAAAAGAATCAATTGACTTGAAAAATAAATTTGGAAAAACATCGTTTCTAAAATGGGATTGATACCAAAAATTAAGACAAAAATTCTGAAGTAGTACCTTAAGAACGAAAAACAAGAAAATTGAAAGATACAACATGCTAAAGAAGAAAATGAATTCGATTCATTACGAAAGATAATAACAAAGAATAAATTATATCTTCAAAAAAAAAAATTGAAAAAAAGTGGTTCTGGAATGTCAGTGGTACAAAATATTAGACCAAAAATGCTTTGGTCGTACTTTACGAAGTTGGAAAAATAGAGAGAGAAAGACAAGAAATTGTAGAGAAAAGTACCTCGATCTTGAAGAAGAAAAATCGACTTCAAGATATAAAAAGAAAAAAGTACTAACCATGAATTTAAAAGCAAAACATGAGAAAAAAAGTCATGAGTAGAATGGACATAAGTAGTACTAACATTCAGGCTAAAATTCCTAGGAAATACTGTACGAAATTAGAAAAATTTTGAGGGAAAGACTTGAAATTTGAAACATATACGAAATAGTAGGAAAAGTACCTCCATAAAGAAGATTCAAGGCGTAACAAGGAAAAAAGAATCAATTGACTTGAAAAATAAATTTGGAAAAACATCGTTTCTAAAATGGGATTGATACCAAAAATTAAGACAAAAATTCTGAAGTAGTACCTTAAGAACGAAAAACAAGAAAATTGAAAGATACAACATGCTAAAGAAAAAAATGAATTCGATTCATTACGAAAGATAATAACAAAGAATAAATTATATCTTCAAAAAAAAAAATTGAAAAAAAGTGGTTCTGGAATGTCAGTGGTACAAAATATTAGACCAAAAATGCTTTGGTCGTACTTTACGAAGTTGGAAAAATAGAGAGAGAAAGACAAGAAATTGTAGAGAAAAGTACCTCGATCTTGAAGAAGAAAAATCGACTTCAAGATATAAAAAGAAAAAAGTACTAACCATGAATTTAAAAGCAAAACATGAGAAAAAAAGTCATGAGTAGAATGGACATAAGTAGTACTAACATTCAGGCTAAAATTCCTAGGAAATACTGTACGAAATTAGAAAAATTTTGAGGGAAAGACTTGAAATTTGAAACATATACGAAATAGTAGGAAAAGTACCTCCATAAAGAAGATTCAAGGCGTAACAAGGAAAAAAGAATCAATTGACTTGAAAAATAAATTTGGAAAAACATCGTTTCTAAAATGGGATTGATACCAAAAATTAAGACAAAAATTCTGAAGTAGTACCTTAAGAACGAAAAACAAGAAAATTGAAAGATACAACATGCTAAAGAAAAAAATGAATTCGATTCATTACGAAAGATAATAACAAAGAATAAATTATATCTTCAAAAAAAAAAATTGAAAAAAAGTGGTTCTGGAATGTCAGTGGTACAAAATATTAGACCAAAAATGCTTTGGTCGTACTTTACGAAGTTGGAAAAATAGAGAGAGAAAGACAAGAAATTGTAGAGAAAAGTACCTCGATCTTGAAGAAGAAAAATCGACTTCAAGATATAAAAAGAAAAAAGTACTAACCATGAATTTAAAAGCAAAACATGAGAAAAAAAGTCATGAGTAGAATGGACATAAGTAGTACTAACATTCAGGCTAAAATTCCTAGGAAATACTGTACGAAATTAGAAAAATTTTGAGGGAAAGACTTGAAATTTGAAACATATACGAAATAGTAGGAAAAGTACCTCCATAAAGAAGATTCAAGGCGTAACAAGGAAAAAAGAATCAATTGACTTGAAAAATAAATTTGGAAAAACATCGTTTCTAAAATGGGATTGATACCAAAAATTAAGACAAAAATTCTGAAGTGTACCTTAAGAACGAAAAATAAGAAAATTGAAAGATACAACATGCTAAAGAAAAAAATGAATTCGATTCATTACGAAAGATAATAACAAAGAATAAATTATATCTTCAAAAAAAAAAATTGAAAAAAAGTGGTTCTGGAATGTCAGTGGTACAAAATATTAGACCAAAAATGCTTTGGTCGTACTTTACGAAGTTGGAAAAATAGAGAGAGAAAGACAAGAAATTGTAGAGAAAAGTACCTCGATCTTGAAGAAGAAAAATCGACTTCAAGATATAAAAAGAAAAAAGTACTAACCATGAATTTAAAAGCAAAACATGAGAAAAAAAGTCATGAGTAGAATGGACATAAGTAGTACTAACATTCAGGCTAAAATTCCTAGGAAATACTGTACGAAATTAGAAAAATTTTGAGGGAAAGACTTGAAATTTGAAACATATACGAAATAGTAGGAAAAGTACCTCCATAAAGAAGATTCAAGGCGTAACAAGGAAAAAAGAATCAATTGACTTGAAAAATAAATTTGGAAAAACATCGTTTCTAAAATGGGATTGATACCAAAAATTAAGACAAAAATTCTGAAGTAGTACCTTAAGAACGAAAAACAAGAAAATTGAAAGACACAACATGGTAAAGAAGAAAATGAATTCGATTCATTACGAAAGATAATAACAAAGAATAAACTATATCTTCAAAAAAAAAAAAATGGAAAAAAAGTGGTTCTGGAATGTCAGTGGTACAAAATATTAGACCAAAAATGCTTTGGTCGTACTTTACGAAGTTGGAAAAATAGAGAGAGAGACAAGAAATTGTAGAGAAAGTACCTCGATATTGAAGAAGAAAAATCGACTCAAAATGTACAAAGAAAAAAGTACTAACTTAAAAGCAAAACATGAGAAAAAAAATCATGACTACAATCGACATAGTACTAACATTCAGGCTAAAATTCTTAGGAAATACATTACGAAATTGGAAAAATTTTGAGGGAAAGATTTGAAATTTGAAACATATACGATAGAGTAGGAAAAGTACCTCCATAACGAAGATTCAAGACGTAACAAGGAAAAAAGAATAAATTGACTTGAAAAATAAATTTGGAAAAACATCGTTTCTAAAATGGGAATGATACCAAAAATTAAGACAAAAATTCTGAAGTGTACCTTAAGAACGAAAAATAAGAAAATTGAAAGACACAATGAATTCGATTCATTACGAAAGATAATAACAAAGAATAAACTATAACTTCAAAAAAAAAAAAAATTGAAAAAAGCGGTTCTGGAATGTCAGTGGTCCAAAATATTGGAGCAAAAGTACTTTGGTCGTACTTTACGAAGTTGAAAAAATAGCGGCGAGAGAAA